CCAAACCTAAAATAGATAATATTGCTTTGGAGGCAGTTATTATCTGTATGTAACAAGCAGGCTTTTCTTAAGCTTTGTGTTTACCGTGGATGTTATTTGTGATCTCCTGCAGGGCCTGTAGRTTTCTTTCACCCCACATCAAGAAAATGAAGCTGGTTTCTTTTGCTTATCTTGTTCCCATTGAAACAYATAAAATTGTCTCTTGTGAAGCACTTGTACTAATTTGGCTGACAGCAACAGGTCAGGTTTCTATTTTATTTTCTACCTCTTAGTTTAGCATCCCGCTGCTCTTTGCAAATGAGTSTGTTCCAGCAGAGCAACAGAAGAGCAGGATCTGTATCCACAGACTGGCATCATTTGAAGCCCTACAGGGAAGCTTAAGCTCAGTGGGAAGATTTGGAAGCTGGCCAAGCCATGACCCTGCTTTAGCAGCAAATCACCTGTGTGGTGAAGGCTCTACCTGCTCTGCATCAGTGCACTCCCTGTGATGCTTGTAGTGCTAAAAATAATTCTGACTCTGATTTCCCCAGGGTAATTAGCCTGTGCAGAACCAGATTGAGATTAGGCTTTTTTTTTCTGGTGCCTTATCATATTTAAGTGCAGGTATTTGCCATATGCTGCAGGGGGAAAAGGCTGTCTCRGTTTCTCATATTGAGCTGTATGGAATCCAGTGCCCCTTGCTGCCTTTTGTGATCGTACCCAGGGGGGATGAGGCCCACTCACCTCAGCTTTTCACTTTGGACTTGTTTCTTTCTGCAAAGGAAGCACAATGCTTGCTTGGAGGTGTTGATAATCCAAGGAACATCCTTCCCTTGGTAAGGTATTCACTTTTCTTCTAAATATCATCTATGAGTGGTGCTGGGTTTGGGATTCTCCGGGGCAAACTGGTAATGCTGAGCAAGGGGTTACTTTATTTGGGTGATATTTTCTTATCTCTGTAGCTGTTAGTGCTTAGTATAAAGCATTTCCAGATAAGGTGCTGAAATAAGCCATTGCAMAGGAGGAAGTGTTGGTTTCTGTAGAAAAAGTCATTCCATTCCTAGTAATGGTTTGTATCTGGCTGTGTTTGAGCTACAGTGATATTAAAAACCTGGGGTACTGGGTATGTTCTGTTATAGAAATAACCACCCWGCACATGCAGTGGTTGTGTAGCCAGCAGAGAGATATTTCCCTGATATTTCCTTTGTCTCCCAGGGCRGAATGGTTTCATTTATGGCTCCTAGAGCCAGCAGGCTCAATTCATGGCAAAAARATAAAAGAAAAATATGAAAAAAGGACCTCACCCCCTTGCTCCTGTATCACCTTGTSAGCCTTGTTTCTCAGAGCACTGAATTTAGAAATTATAAGTCTAARAACTTTCCATAGCCAAATATTGTGTTGTATAACAGAAATGTAATTATCTTTTAGTGTAATTGGTACAGTGTCTCATTAATTAGGTTTTAAGTCAGTGAATGTGCCAGACAGGCAGAGATTGGGTTGAATCAAACCCTGTGCCAGAATCAAAGGAGGTTTAACATGAGGGAGTTCCATCAGTTCCTTCCTGTTGGAGCCTGTATTAAYGTGCATTTAAGTGAGAAGCATCTTCCTAACAGCCTCTAATGCCTGTGTTAGTAACCTTAGCTATGGTGAATTTAAATGTTTATTAGCATTTAGTTATAGCTAAAACACCCTGACTGAATCTGACCTTCAAGGTGGCTGGCATAGACACTGACCCAAGGTTTTCCCCTTCATTGGATAAACAAATGAGTTCAAGAATGAACAGGTTTATCTAATAGTGGTGGTGTGGTGCTCAGTTGTGTTTTTGTCATCTTGCCTAACTTTGAGTATGATACTTTAAAAGTATTAACTGCATTAAAGCATCTTCAGTGAGCATTGTGCACTGCTGGGTGTGCAAGGAGTGATTCCATAGTGAAGAAAGGCAATTTCTTCCATAATTTCCAGTGTGTAAATCCATTTGTGTTTGTTCAGTTTGGTTATATTGGGCACTTTTATGATGTTTTCAGTGTCTTGCAGTGTTTCTCACTTGTGGCTTTGCTGGCTTCCTGTCAAGACAGTAAGTGAAGTAGAATTGCTGGGTGATTTCTCTAGGCTTTCAGTGGCATTTGAAATATCTCTTAAAACATCTTAAAAAATCATTTAGCTCTAAATATTATATCAGTTTAAGGGAGTACATGCGGTGTGTTTTAGTGAAAGAAACTAAAGCATATGAAAARAAAAGTAAAAGATTCCCAGGGACCATAATTAGAGGATACATAAGGGAGGATAAAATGCTAGGAATATTTGTTCAGTCGTGGTGAGTTGTGACCAACTTTCCTGTCACTAATTCTTTCTTTCTTGTCCCTATTTCCCCCAAAAGAGGAGGAGATGGCAAAATAAAAGGATATCATAAAAATGACAGGTGCAATCAAAAGCAGTCTCTCTGCAGGAAGAGATTAAAGTATATGGATTTTTCTGAGCATTGGAGATTTGGCAGCGTGTTAAAGAGAAGGCTGGAGGAGATAGACTGCAAACATTATTTTTTTCCTTGTTATATAAGAACAAGGAGCCATGCAATTAAATCAAAAACAACAGAGTTAAATTGATAACAGGAAGTGTGCCTCTTTTGTGTGCCAAACAGAATGGTTTCTGTTTGCAGATTTTTGCTACAATGTGCCATTGAAAGGGGAACAATAAAGAGGCCAAACTCAGACCAAGAATTTGGCAAAGTGTGTTTTTTCCTTGTGGTTGCTTAGGGAATATTTGGCGATACAGTTGGCCATGGACTTCTGAGGCTGAGGAAGGAAGAGGGAAAACTTCTGGCCTGTGGAGGATAAGGACTGCATGAACAACAYGTTGGTACCAAAAACACCCTTTCTACATGCGAGAGAGAATTTCTGTCTCTTCCAAATTAAGTGATTCTGTTGATGTTGTTCAGTATAGAGGAGAAAAGCAGAGAAAATTGATGCAGGAAGAAAGAAGGGTTTTAGATGTGAATATGTGCTGGCCTGGCAGGGGGTACCCCAGAAATCCTGGCACCCCTGGCTCCAGCACCACGAGGAGAGTGGTCCCCATTCCCTGTGACTATTCCAGTGACCTCCTTAGGGAACAGAATCCTGGCATGGTGGTCATCTCTGTGTCTTCTTCTTGAACTGGGGAAGTGAAAAAAGGGCCATCAGCAGAAGACTGATGTCAGAGTGCACTTGCCCTTTT